CCTCAGAGCTGACTTCTTGCTCTATGCCCAGGGATCACTCCTGGCAGTGCTCAGGACACCATTTATGGTGCTAGAGAGCAAACCCAGATTAGCTACATGCAAGGCAAGTGTCTTTCCCATTGTACCTTTTCTCTTTCCTTCTTCCTTATCCCAGAGTTTCTTTGGTGACTGTATGCAGAAATCCCTTTGAGGATCTGCCCTGGCTTCCTATCTTTGCCCAGCTGCAGAAACCTGTTTCAGGCACGCCCCCACCATCATAAACACAGCCTGTGTCTGGGACAGGAAAAGAAGTGAAGGGATTTTTACTGAATGAGACTTTGCCTGCTAATTCTAGAACACCTGGCAGAGCATCCCTTCCTCTGTCCTCTGCAGGTAGCTGCTGGCCTGTTGAGTCTAGTGTGGTCAATCACCACCACCCTGAAGTGCTTTGTCTGTGCACAGGTTTAGCTAAGTTTTATACCTTAAGTAAAGTAAGTAAAGGCCCTCCCGTTGATCATCGATTTGCTCGAGCGGACCCAGTAACGTCTCCATTGGAGACTTTGTTGTTACTGTGTTTGGCATATTGAATACGCCACGGGGAGCTTGCCAGGCCCTGCCGTGCGGGCGAGATCCTCTCGGTAGCTTGCCGGGCTCTCCGAGAGGGGCGGAGAAATCGAACTCGGGTCGGCCATGTTGGCTGTGTGCAAGGCAAACGCCCTACCGCTGTGCTATCGCTCCTGCTTACCAATTTTATATTTCAAATCTTCCTTGCATGCCCTTTCTTAATGCTGCAGTCAGCAGGCTTGCAGTTGAGGTGCTCTTCTACATACTGGCTGCAGTGCTTGCTGTGGGTCAGACACTTAATTGTATTGCAGGGGATTCTAAACCACAGAACTGCTGGAATCGAACTTGGGCATATGGGGGTGATGTCAGGGGACTGAGTTTGCAGCCTCGCCGGCCTCAGGTCTGCAAGCAGGCACTTTTTGCCACAGAACTATTCTCAAGTTCCCTAGTGTATCTTCTGTAGAATTTTTTTTTTAAACTTTTCTCCCCAGAAACTACCCTGGTTAATAAAATGATGAGGTAAGTACCTCAGTTTCTGCATTCCAGCCTCCAGCTCAGGAGATTATCAAATACTAATTCCTCAGAAAGTTTCAGAACTTTTGATGCTTTTTCTTTTCTCCTTAATCTCCTGAATTATCCATGACACAGCAACATACAAACTTTTTATCACAGCAAAGACAGGAAGAAAACAGCAGGTTCAACGAATTCAGATTATATGTCAGCACTTGGGAAATACTATTTTCCATTCTGCAACAAAGAAAAGAGAAAATGGAAGAAAAGAAAGGGAATGGAGGAAAAGGGGGGAATGGAGTAAGGGTGGGTATGAGGGAAAGAAGGAAGGAGGGTGGGAGGGAGAGAAGAAGGGAAGAAGAGGAAGGGAGGGATGAAAAGCAAAGGAGGGAGAAAGGAAGGAGAGAAGAGGGAAGATGGGAGGGAAGAATGGGAGGAAGGAAGGAAGGAAGGAAGGAAGGAAGGAAGGAAGGAAGGAAGGGAGGGAGGGAGGGAGGGAGGGAGGGAAGGAAAGAAACTAATGAGACAGATTTAATGATCAAGGGACTTATTTATCAAGAAGATAACACTTAAGGTATATGCACCAAATGCATTGAAATATATAAAACAACTTCTAACAGACATGAAGAAATCATTAACAACCACACAATAGTAGTGGATGCTAACAGCATTCTTTTACTATTAGATAAATTTGTATGAAATCTTAACACTTTCAGAGTGACCAAAGCAGGGTCCAGAGATAGTACAGGGGCTGAAGCACTTGCCCTTACATGTGGCCAGCCCTAATTGGATTTCTAGCACCACATATGGTTCCCCTAACATTGCCAGGAATGAAAGTAGAACCGAGTAAGCTCTGAACAGCACCAAGAGTGTCACAGAACAAAAAACAAACAAAAAAACCCATAAATTGTGAGGAAACTCAAAATTTTACCCCCAGCATTAAGAAACTATTGAAGGAAATAAAAGAGGACAATAATAAATGAATGGATTTGAATAACTGTATTTGACAAAAATTTGTGCTAATATACATTATCAGTTATCTTTTATAAACATGGAGGAAACACTGGTAAGTTCTACACTCCCAGACTCCTTCCTTCCAATTGATGTCAAGACATCATCTTGACCATCTCACCTTTCTTCATGGGGCAGGTTTTCTAGTGATCATTTCTATATTTATGAAGAGAGCTTTATTTTACCTTTATTTTTTGAAGGAGATTTTTACTTGAGAGAAAATTCTGGATTAATAGTTCTCATCTGGATTTCAGTATTTCAAAGTTGTCTTTCCACAACTTTATGACTTCCAAGATTCTCTGTATGTAGTGCTTTCCCTATGGCCACTTTTGGGGGTTTTAAAGATTTTCTCTTTTGGGGGAGGACTGGAGCGATAGCACAGCGGGTAGGGCATTTGCCTTGCGCACGACCAACAGAGGTTCAATTCCCAGCATCCCATATGGTCCCCCGAGCACCACCAGGAGTAATTCCTGAGTGCAGAGCCAGGAGTAACCCCTTTGAGCATCGCTGGGTGTGACCCAAAGGGCAAAAAAAAAAAAATTTTTAAGCTTTAACTATGAGATGCTAAATACGACTTTATATTTTCCTAGTTCAATGAGCTTTTAGGAATTTTCACCTAACATGACAATTCTGGCTTCAATTTACATATAAGTATATACAGGTCTTTAATCTCTCTAATTTTCTTTCTCTTCTCTAATCTCTCTAACTTTATTTCTCTTCTTCTAGGAATCCAAATATACATACGTTGATCTGCTTGTTATTGCCACACATGGCAATAAAACTTTCTCTCTCTTTTAATTTCTTCCAATTAAAAAAATACCCAGATAGGATTTCTATTCACCTGGAATCTTTCCTTGTTGCTGTTTGCTTCTATTTTTCTACCGAGAGTACCTTTCTATTCACTATAATCCCTTGTCTTTTTCAACTTTGAACATAACAGCTGCTTTGAATTCTGCTAATTACTGTATCTTAGTTGCAAGGATTTCTTTATATTCTGTGCCTTTTATATATTTGTAATAAAATAAGTCAATTCTCATTTCTGTGCATGCCTCACAGTATTTTAATACTAATCATTTTGATAGTGTCATGGATTTACTGTTAATCATATTGTGTAAGCACGAAGCCTGTTTTTCTAGTACACATTGAAACTACTGGATAATCACCTTGATTTTATGGAGGCTTGTTTCTACATTAGGTGAGAAGTTTTATACTCAGTTCTAACACTGATTCTACAAAGCTCAAAGTGCTTATTGATCATTCTCTTCTTACTGGTCAGGACTCAAACTCAAAATTCTATCTTTACTAGCAATAGAGAACAAAAAAATCTCTCCTTAGTTTTTTAAGCCTTGCTCACTACATTCCACTTTCCACTATGTTCATAAAAATCAGGTTTCCTCTCCAGATTAGTTCGCCTAACCCTGCAAACCCTTTCAAAAAAGGAAAACTTTGAGTATTCCTCTCCCCAACTGCATTCAAAGCTTCTCTAGCCTCCCTGAATCATTCGAGCAGCCCAGGTGGAAGCCTATGTGGAAAACACTGATTGAGAAGCTGCTGGGCACAAGTACAGTTCAGGAGTTAGCAAAACATTTAAGAGATTATACAGAGAAAGACCCTCCCTCCCTCATTGCCTTCATCTCTAAGATTTCCTCCTTTAACCTAGTCCTCCAGGAGCACCTCCAGTTCACTTAGCAGGCCAGGAAGGCTGCAACTTTCTCCTGAGCTCTGGCCACCCCCAGCTCAGCCAGACTGGAGAATAACCTGGAGGGGGAAGCCATACTAGCATAGATTTCAGGCCGCTTTTAGTCACACCTCGTTGCCTTTAAACAGTTACTTATATTGTCCATAATTTACAATTGGGAGGGTACAAACCATTATAAGCTATTTCACCACTACAAAAACCAGAGGTCTTTCATTTTTAAATTCTTAAGTTCTTGGCTTACTGGATTTGCTTTAAACAAAACAGAACTGTTGCTTAAACTGTCACTGGATCATTTTTGTATTATCACTGTATCACTGTCATCCTGTTGTTCATTGATTTCCTTGAGCAGGCACCAGTAACATCTCCATTCGTCCTAGCCCTGAGATTTTAGCAAGTGCCACATTGGAGGCTCCTTCAGTCAGGGGAATGAGACCCATCATTGTTACTGGGTTTTTGCATATCGAATACGGCACGGGGAGCTTGCCAGACTCTGCCGTGCGGGCAGGATACACACAGAAGCCTGTTGTGTTCTCCAAGAGTGAGGACTAGACAATAAGTGGTTGTGCGCTGTGTGCTTCCGGGAGCTGGGTTTTATTGTCCCTGGGTCTTGGCCGTTGATGGGATAACACGGCGCTGGGGGCAGTTGGTGGGTGTAACACCTAGCTACTGGAACATGGGGAGGAGGCCCAGTCCCAATCTGAGCAAGCTTGGAGATCTCAGCTCTGGGTCCCGCACACCTGGGTTCCTCTGCCTGTTCCTGCATGCGTGAGGCTCGCCCAAATGTGTGGAGAGTAGTCTTAAGTGTGGCTGTGGCTGGTTCCTGAGGTCTTCAGCTACCAGGGCTCTGCTCGGGGCGGGGAGGGAAACTCAACCTGCCCTCCTCCAAGGGGCCCCGGTAAGGACAGCCAGGCATGGGGGCAGGAGACTCCCGTTTTTGTATTAAAAGCATAAATTTATCTCAAGATAATCAAAATAATCTCTTGCTAATTATGCTTCCCCAAATAGTAGGAAAATATTTATTCAAATCCAACAAACTCACTGAGCAAAGCAATTAGATATATTGATAAGTTCATAGAAATATTCAGACCAACTAAATTAAGTAATCTATTTCTATTATAAAACTAAGTGTGAACAAAGAAAAGTATAAAATTATAAAATAAATGTAGTGGTATTTAGAACTAGTAAGAAGATAGTCACTACTTATGTATCTTCATATCCTTTGGCATATTAACTAAGTGATATAAATATTAACAGTGTTGTCTTCGAATTTCGATTTAAAAATTTTTATTTTGTAATCAGCAAGTTTTCTAACAAATGTTAGCCTGAATGTAGAAGATGCTATTTAAAACCAAACAGCAACTGTACATGCTGGCTATACATTTATAATTTGACAATTATACAGTCTATAAAATTCAGCAGAAACATGAGACACATAATTAGGATGTTAAACATGAGACACTCAGAAGGCTGTCATTTTGTGGCAAAAAAATAAACTGTGATTTAAGTCAGGGCCACTGTCACTTCTGTTCACATATATACGCATTACTTCCAGAACAACCAGAACAACCCAGCTTGTAGTCAAAAAGAAAGTTACTGATTTTTGAAGAAAGAAGAAAATTCCACCTGGTACAAACTGATTTCATAAGTTATATGAAAAACATAAACATTTAAACACCTCTGACTACAGATCTTTACAAGTTTCCTGGTAGATCTGTTCCATGTGTATAAATCCTGAAAAAAAATGCCCAAATAGCAATGATATCACTTGGGGAAAAAATGATCAACTCACTGCTCAAGGAAACCATGCAATATTGAGTCAACAACCTTTCTTCTCGTTTACCTGTTTAATACTTATTGGATAAACCACAAACTCATTTCATTTGGTATACAAATGCACTTTCATACATATAGGACTAAAATTAACAACCAACAACACATCTGTGTTCAGAGTGTCACTGTTCTGCAACTGAGCTATTTTCTGGTATGGAAAACTGACTTAGCATCTCCATCTCCAGCGGATGCATGGTCCCTCCTGTGATAATCAAGGAGTGTAACGGTCCCCCCAAGTCCACAGTGCACATCTGCTTCAAGGTGCCTGATGCAATTTTCTGGTCTTCAGCTCCAACCCTGGCTAAGCCAACACAAAGTGTCTCTTCGGTGATTGCTATTCAAAAAGAAAAAAAAAAAGAAGAGAGATGAAAGATTGACATTTCATTCAACAAATACACTACCCTATCAAACATCCTAACACCAGCAACAAAAGCACACTTAAAGGAAGTCCCCACTGAAGCATTAGTAATAAGCTCTCAGTATCTTAAATCCTCTTTGATACATAATGAATTAAATTCTTAATGATTAATCTAAGATTTTTCTAAATTACTTGTACTGTCTGACTTATAAAGTAGTATCAGCCAGCCTTATTCTTTCAGAATTCTAAGTGCTTACTTTAAGGTTTTAAGATGTGATAAACGATTTCTCTTATCCATATACTTTTTTTGTTTGTTTTGGTTTAGGGGCCATAACCACTGTGCTCAGCATCTATTCCTGGAGCTGTGCTGAGAAGTGATACTTGGTGGTGCTTTGAGGGACCTCCTATGGTACCAGAGATGGAATCTGGGTTGGCCACATGTAAGGAAGTATGTTAGCCACTGTGTTATCTCTCTGGTCCTGCAGACTTATATGCATATACATTATGATCACAAAATGTTGTCTTTAAATAGACTGTGACCAATATCACGTGTTTATATTTTAACAAGTTTCTTGAGACATGTTCATACTGACCAAGAAACTGTGATACTATAGGTTAAAACAGATTAGTGTTTCATCATGATTACCTAACCAACAGGTAACAACAGTTTTTTACCGTGTGTGTGAGTGTATGTGTGTGTGTTTGTGTATATATGTGTATGTGCGTGGTGTCAAAGATTGAACCTAGAAACTCATACATGTGGGGCAAGTGCATAGCACCAAGCTACATCCCTGGCCCCTTAGTTTTTCACTTTAAAAACAAAAGAAATTTGATCTCTTTTAAAGTGTTGCTGTATGGCTAGGATAATAAAGATCAGTATCTTGTAAGCTATAGAGTCCTTAATGTGTAGATATTATGCTATTATTTCTATTTTTAAGCTTAAAATGAATGGTAAGTTTTAGTGTTTTCACTCTGATGGATTAACTTACGTAATAACACTTTTTTGGTTTTATTTCTGGCTGGGGAAGTTGTCCAAACTGAACACTGATCAAAATAAGGTTATGATCTATGCTAGGACAAGGAGGCATGCAAGAAATTCTGAAAAAATTATGGATATATAATTTTATCCTTGCAATTTTTTTTAATTTCTTTAACAAAGGCTATTCAAGTAAACAATACAATAACTCAAAAATGACTTCCTTTTTTTTTTTTTACAAAGAGGTGCTCATTGCTCGCTTCAGCAGCACATGTACTAAAATTGGAATGATACAGGGAAGATTAGCATGGCCCCTGTGCAAGGATGACATGCAAATTCGTGAAGTGTTCCATATTTAAAAAAAAAAACGAGGTGCTCAAAGGTAATCAGCATCTTAGAATATAATCACAGGTTCATGCAATAAAGAGTTTAATGACAACGAACATTTTTTATACTATATATACTATTGTGTGCATAGATATTAGGAATATAAGGATAAATTCTCTTGCCTTTACCTTGAAGAAAACTATCTCTGGTCTCAGAGGTTGGAGTGAGAAAAAAGAAGGCCCATGGGACTATATAAGGGGTTAAAGTGCTTGCCATTCATGAGGTCAATTCCAATTCTATCCCCAGAAACACATATGCCCCTCTGGGTACTAGTAGGAATGACTCCTGAGTTCAGAATCAAGAGTAGTTCCTGAGTATCACCAGATATGGCCCTAACTCCCTCCCAAAAAGAAAGAGGAAAAAAAGCAGAATAAATATTTTGTAGCACTAGAAGGTGAGTTCCATACTTTTCCAAAATATTTAAGAGGTAGGAGAAGAGAGAGAGAGAGAGAGAGAGAGAGAGAGAGAGAGAGAGAGAGAGAGAGAGCAATTGTGTGAATGCCATGGCCATTTACATAGCTCAGTGCACAGCGGCAGTCAGAAACTTTGAGATCGCTCAGGATCTTCGGTACCTGGCTCCTCTCCCTGTAGTCTTTGATTCTGGACAATCTCCAGGAGTTGCCGGGCTGCTTGGTTTACACTCATGTACTGGGGAGGTTCATAAATCTTCCTTCCCCTGTAAGTAGATGTCATTGTTCTTTGGTATGAAATCAGGTAAGTCATTACTAATGCATTTATTCTCTCAGATATACTCAAGCACCCCACAAACCACATTTTGTGTGAAGCTTTCGCATGACGCCCGCTTTAAGTATACACTAAAGAAAAATACAGCGACTGCTTTAGGTGTCTCAGGCTTTTTTCAGTACTCGTCAACTGCCTCGTGATCTCACTAAGATGTTGCCAGGAGTAAGAGTCCCCCCCAATTAAAGACAAATGTCTAAGTGAAACTTATTCTGTACTTCAGCCAAATCAAGTTCTGCAGTGTTCATTTTTGTTGCCATGTTTTAAAAATATATTCCTCTTTTCCCTTTTTCTACCAATAAAAATAAAACTAAAGTAGTAAATACAGCATAATACTGCAAACTTAGATTTATTCACTCCTGTATAACACCAAAGTTTACATTTGTCCAATGATCTTAATAAAAATATAGCTTTGCATTTAAAAAAACTGTTAAAATTAATTTTAATAACATATTTTATTGAGCTTAGTATGTCTAAAACACACATAAACAGTTGCGCCTATAAAAATAAAAAGATTGGTTTTTGAATTTTGAAATCTTTGAATTTTGTATTTTACGTGTTTAGCACACTTTAGTTCAAAAGTTACATTTTCATTGGAAATACCTGCTCTGTACTTAGATTTCATAAAATTTCTGGTTACAAAGAAAATTTATGTATTTAAGCTATAAATGTAGTTCAAGTTTTCTATTACTAAGATAAATATTAAATTAATTAACATTAATAAGGCATATAATTTAATGGGCATTCGCCTTGGGTCCATTAGTTGTATTTTAACAGTTATTGATTACATGTGGGTTGTACCTACTTCAGAAGGCAACATTTCTCTAAACAAAAAAGGATTTTTTGAGGAAAATATGACAAAGTCAAAATGGAAGTAACTTGACCAAAGCACATGGCAGTTTTGGGCTCAAATTCATGTCTCTGACTCCATGTTTATTTAGTTTATAAACCTTTACTGAGTCCCAATTTAATGTTTATTAGGTGTCAACCATTTTTCTCAATTTTGAATCTATGAAATACATTACTATTTCTACTCTCTCATTTCACATATTAAACAATTTTTTAAATGGGGCTTATACCTGATGTTATCAGGGAAGGGTGTCAAAGCCAGGACCTCATACCAAGCAAGGCATCCATTCCACCACATGCACTCTCTCCTTGACCCCTAAACAATTAAATTTTGTTCTTTTGTTTGGGGGTGACACCTGCTGATGCCAGGACCTACTCTTGGCTCTGCAGTCAAGGATCATTACTGGCACTAGTAGTGGGGGGACCATACGGGGTGTCAGAGAGAGTAACCAAGTGGGCTGCATGCAAGGCGAGTGCCTAACTCACTGCACCATTTCTCCAGGCCCCCTAAACTATTTAATTCTGTTTTTTTGGGGGGGTGAGGTGGGGGGGGCACTCTTGGCAATGTGCAGGGGTTATTCCTGGCTCTGAACTCAGAATTACTCCTGGCAATGTTTAGGGGATCACAATGTTTAGGGGATCACATGGGATTACACTTTGGTTGGTGCATTCAATGCAAGTATATTTCCCCACTCATTGCACTGCTGTCCCGACCTCCCAAACTACTTGACTGTTAAGGAGAGCTGACTTCCAACATTCTTTAGAACTCATATCATCAAAGCAGAACTTACTGAATTGATCAAGGAGGTAAAACAGATGGAAGTTTACTCAAAATCAGACTTACTTGATAAGATTTTCCATAGACTGTTCCTTTACCTTGATATCTATAGAAAACAAAACAAAAGCAAAAATCCAGGTCTTTTAAAATTACTTTATCCAAAACCTATGGGTAAACTTCACCTGTGTTTGGGAAAACATTCTTCTCATGTCTCCAAAGTGTTCACTTGTGAGACAGTGAGTATCTTCCCTCACAAACCATCTACCGCCTTTTAACACAGATAGAGGGACCAATGGAAGTTTGAGCTTGTGTAAACATCATAAGTGAGGAAAAACACCATCAGACTGGCCCTGAGAATATACTGAGAGGATGTATTTCTCCTCTTGGAAAAGACACAGGAAAAATTTAGATAAATATTGGCATGCATACTACCTCTGTGCTAATCAGAATCCTTGTGTTTTGTTTCTACTAGCTGGTAACAACACAGACCCAACTGAAAACTCTTGACATGTTCTTACTCATTTTTAAAAAAATTATATATTTTAGGCACAAAAATATAAGTTTCAATACTTGAAACATAAATAGAAGAAAATTCTGATTACACTGGAAGAAACTTTTTCCTACTTACAGGCGATAAGACATTCCACGATAACAATGAAAAAATAACACCAAATAATCATTCTCCCAATAGGGTCTCCCCAACCACTTACTCCTAATGACTGGGGGTATCACATGCACAAAACATATAATTCTCACTTCACGCTCCCATAAAGTCTAACAGCATAAATGTCACAAGTCTTCAATTCTTTATACTTGAATTACAGATACTCTGCTGAACAACTTGGTAAAAGGTAAAAAAGCAGAATCACTCTACATCCTCACAGGAACTCAGTGCACAACAGCAAGAGTAACAGCTGCTTCCTGTTCTACATGATGAAAACAAACGGTTCAGCCAAAGTTTGTTTTCATAAAAATAAATATAGTGCAATTGAGGGATCTTTTCTGATAGACTTCTACATTTTTCAAAAGTGATACAAAAGTTTTTCTTACAAAATATATTGAATAGTCTGCTTGGAAAATACAATAGGTTTTTCTAAGTACACCTGGAACCAAAAGCAAATATATTATTGAATATTTCCATTTGTCTGGCATATTTAGGAACAAATGCCTGTTACTGAAAATGTGGATCTTCACTATAATGAGAATAAATCAACTTAGATTTTAAATGGTACTTAAAGATTTAAAATGTTCCGACTATTTTTTTACCTTAAGCTTTTTAAATGTTATTTGTTATAATAGTTTTAATATTTTACATTTTATAATGATGTGCTATTCAGAATCTGATTTTTCAAATGAGTTAGGAAGAACCTTTATAAGTCATGTTTTTAAATCATACATAAGACTGCATTAGTGAGTTAATCTCAAACCAAGCCAGTCTTAATGCTTTTTTCTTGTCCTTAACACTAAGTATTCAATTCTACTTCTAACTGCTCGAGTATTTCTCCTGTTTATCTTAGTACCAGGCTATATCATATGATGCACAGTACCTAGTATTCTAGCACTAGGCTCTTTGAAACAACTATACAATTAATGTTAAATGTTGTTAATGTCTACTTATATCATATATCCATCTTGTATTTCCAGATAAAACAAATTCTCCCTGTTTTCTTACCATGATAAATTCTTACTAATACCTATGGAGTTTGGCCATTTGCAGGTTTTTAATAAATACAAATTAATTTAAATGATGAGAATTCCAGATGATTAAATGATGATATATATGGATTGAGGACCTGGAGTCATATCTCATACTTCACACCTTGTTCCTGCTTTTGTTAATGGAACAAGGAAGACATATTGTTTAACCTTGTTTGTCTTTTCCCATGAAAGACAAGCAGTGAGGGAGCTCTTAGAGAGCACAAGAGCCAAAGTTCTGGTTTGTCCTTCCTGCTTCACCACACAATAGAACTCAATTGTTCTTCAGATGTTCAATTATATAACATGCTAGTTACAAACAAGATCGCAGAACACTATCCACTGGAACTATGTCTAATACTTCCTAAGTATTCCAAATGAATATGAACTGTATATTAGGAAGAGTAAGCATTCAAGAAAAACCTACACATTGAAAAACGTATACATCGAAACTGTAACTACGGAGTGAGGGTTTCCCAAAAGATAAATGTTATTCTATCCCATGTCCCCTCATTTTTTTAAATCTCTGTATGGGAAAGCTACCAGAGAGTCTGCCTCCTAAAATTCTTCTCTACCTGTTCTGTTTCAGAACACCAAAGTCCTTTTGTAAAACACACACCCACTAGTATGCACCCAATGATACTTACTATTTTTTAATCTTTCGGTTACATAGCTATCCTTCCCTCATTCTATTCTGACCTTCTAAAGTTTGGGATAACATGATAAATATATGTAAAGACATGTTCTATACAAATTAACAAAACCTACAGTGTGCTCTTATAATCAGTGAAGATTATAGAAAAAAGACCAGTCTCAGGGCTAAATCGACAGTATAGCAGGCAGAGGTTTGCCTTGCACGTGGCTGACCCGGGACCTATTCCCAGCATCCCATATGGTCCTCCGAGCACTTCCAGGAGTAATTCCTGAGTGCATGAACCGGGAGCAACCCCTGCGCATCGCCGGGTGTGACCCAAAAAAGAAAAGAAAAAAAAGCCCAGTCTCTTTTCACATGAAAAATTCAAGTACAAAACGACAAAGCTAATTAAGTGCCAAATCACACTAAGAAACAAAGTTAAGATAACTAAGAAAACTGACTGCTATATCCTACTAATAGGATATAGCTGCATGCAAGTTAAAAAAGAAGACGGGGGAGCATTCAGAGTCTGATGTAGATCTAAGATTAATTAGGCGCCAATGGGAATGGCATCTAATTCTACCTGGAACTGAATGAATTAGCAAGAGTTAAGGGTTTTCTGTACCAATGGCAATAAGATAAAGTCTAAGGAAAAATTTAAAAAAGAGCAAACAACCAAACTTCAACCAACAGTCTTCCTTAAATATGAAACTGCTGTATAGTGCCATAGAAAAGAGAGCAATAAGCTGTAAAAATGACCTTACAAGGCAGAAGAACCCCAACGAGTTTATAAAATGATTTAGATGACTAAAGAAGGGCCGGGGAGAGAGTTGAGATGGCTGGAAAACACACAGGACTCCCTTTCCCATCACTAAGGGGAGCGCAGATGGGAAGGATTAATACAGAGTAATGGGGGAAACAAAAACAAGAAAGGCCCTCTTCAGAAAGGTCACTTGGGATCAAAGAAACATTTTAGGATCTAAGAACAACAATGCTCCCCGTCAAAACTATTCATCACTGCCTCAGAGCATAAAGCAGCCACAGATGATACAGAAATGAAGTGGCGTGGGGCTGGGGAGATCACACAGGATTTAAGGCGCGTGAAAGGCAGACCCTGAGCCCAGTGCAATCCCTAGCCCCAGTCCCAGCATCACAGCTGTGGCTCTGTGGACTACCAAGCACTGCTGGCACTGCAGGGCCCAAGCAACGCGGCAGTCTCGGGCCATTCCCCCATTCCCACTGGGAATGGCCATGGCCCTTGAACACAACTTGAGAGGGCCCCCCAGTCAAGCTGCCTAGAACTGCTGGAAGTGCCCTCAGGCCCAAATACCCGTGAGAGCCCCCAGCGAGGGGGAGTGGGGGAAGTACCATGGCATGTTCTCAAAACTTTATTTATAAAATAGGCAGTCAGTTGAATTTGATCCATAATCACTAGTTTGCTTACATCTGCTCTGTTCTAGACATGAATTCTTGATTTGAATTGTAAAGAAATTGGGACCGGAATCAGAATACAGTAGATAAGGCACTTGCCTTGTAAGTGCCCAACCCAGATTCAAACCCCCGCATCCCATATGGTCCCAAGTCTGATGAGATTAAGTGTCAACTACAAGTGTCAGCACTTGCAGTAATTTATAATGACACAAAGGACTGGAAATTAGAAAACAAATACATTATTATGTTACAATATATTATTTTACATTAAGTAAAACCTGGTTCTTTATCACAAGTACTTTTAGAGGAATTGCTTTTAAAACTCTTTGAGGCAGGAAGGACTATTTTTCTTTCTTTGGGGCGTGATGGGGCTTAGGGGCCATACCTGGTAGTGTGCAAGGCTATTCCTGGCTCTGTGCTCAGGACTCATCCCTGATTGTCTCGGGATCCAGACCAGGGTTACAGCTACCACATCTATGGGGTCAGAGCAGTAGTACAGTGGACAAGAGTGTTGCCTTGCACACAGCAGACCCAGGTTCGATCCCTGGCATAGCTTATGGCTCCTTGAGCACCACAAAGGGTGATTCCTGAGTACAGAGCAAGGAGTAATCCCTGGGCATCACTGGGTGTGGTCCCCAAACAAAATGCAAACAAACAGCTACCACAGCTACATGCAAGGCAAGTGCCATGCCTCTGTCTCATCTCTTATGCTTTAAGGAAGGGATATATTTTTTTAATTTTTATTAGTGAAACACCATGAGGTACAGTTGTAGACTTACAAATTTTTGTGCTTGGGTTTCAATTATGCAATGATCAAGTACCCTTCCCTCCACCAGTACCCATTTTCCACCACCGCGGATTCCAGTATCCCTCCCAACCCCCATCCCCCCATCCCATCCTGCCTCTGTGGCAGGGCATTTAAGAAAGGGATTTTCTGTGACAAAAATGAAGGCAAGGTTAAGGAATGTTCACAATATTGTCCATCTTGTACCAGCATTAGGATTCTGTGTTCTGATTTCAAGTATAAGTTTATCAAAGTTACCAACTCATCCTATTCACTAGTCACCAATTAAGATCTTGATATCAGTATTTATAAACCATATGGAGTTTAAACAGGAACAGAAAGTGGCTGTGCTGGAAAATGCAGCCCATGGTCTTCTGAATGCTCTATCCGTATCATCATCTGGTATATAAAAAAAACAACCCCAGCTCTTTCCATACCAAATAGAAAACAGGATTTGTAGGCATCGTATAATGAAAAGAGCCGTGAATAATAGACCATATGTTTTCTACCAATTTCACCATCAGGAAGTTCAGAGAAACTGGAAAAGTGATTTGATAATTCTGGGCCTCAACTTTATCTCAGATCATCTCCATTATCTCTTTCATAACTATAATTTTATGGTTCAGTTAGCTTCAATATTGGAATAGTTGAAGAATATTTCTGAAAAATAGAGTACTAGGGCCTGAAAGACGGTGTGGTGGTATAGTGGGTGGGATGTTTGCTTTGCATGTGGTCCAATGCGATTCTATTCCTAGCACCTCATATGGTTCCCCCAAGCCCTACCAGGAGTGAACCCTGAAGTCAGCAGTATACTTTGAACACAATCAGGTGTGGCCCCAAAACCCAATCCCACCTCTGCCCGCCCCTCACCACCACCATCACAAAAAAAAAAAAAAAGAGGATAATCTTGGGGCTGGAGCGACAGCACAGCGGGTAGGGCGTTTGCCTTGCATGCGGCCGACCTGGGTTCGATTCCCAGCATATCATATGGTCCCCCGAGTACCGCCAGGAGTGATTCCTGAGTGCAAAGCCAGGAGTAACCCCTGAGCATCGCTGGGTGTGACCCAAAAAGAAAAAAAATAGAGAATGGTCTTGGTAAGAAATTTTTATATATGTCTACTGAATTGCAGTATACTGACAAGAAGCAGGTCTCAAGAGCCAAATCATTTAGGATGTGGAATTCTGGAAAGGGCTGATTAGAGCATAAGGGGGCTGTAACAGACATGTCCTTTTAAATCTGTAGCTCGTTACACACAGAACAGTGTCACCTTAACAGAACAATTCAAATGCAACTTCTCTGAAAATTCTATGGAAAAAACGTATGGGAAGTGGGCGAGCCCTTACCCAGCAAACATAGTGTGTGCATGCCATTCTGTCTGTTCTTCTTCACTTTGTCAAAGAAGCTTTCTGGTCTCCAGGTGTCTGTCCAAAAAACAATAGAAACGGTCTCTCCAAAGTTGTATAACTAGGGGGAAAAAAATCAATTAATGGAAGTATTCACTACTATTTAATAGTTAATTAAAATAAGTTAGAATCAGACATGAGGTGGGTTGGGGATCAAAGCTGTCAGAAAATCAGGTGATACAAGTTCCCTTCAGTTCCACATAGTATTTGGTCACTTCTGACTCCCTTCTGGTATTACGCTCCAAGTATTTCTCTGTTCAGTGTATCAACACGTGTAACCAGTTTATGATTTAATCACACAGCTCCTAAAAATACAGTGAAACAAAGAACCTAAAAGGAAGACCCTCCACCCGAAGATTGCTGAGTGGTCAGGACTGAGTTCAGAAGGGGAGTGTTATTATTGTCACTTGATGTATGAGAACAACAAAACTCAGAAAGATCAACTCACTTGCCTAAAGTCACAAAGTCAGTTAAGAAAAAAGGAATTCAGGTTGAAGTCCTTTTCACGATGTCAGATTAATAACACTACATATCACTTCTGCCATTTCTCAAAGCCTGTCCCTTAGCTGGCCCCCATTTGTTCCCTCCCTGTAGAACTGATTAAGGGTCACCTCATGAACCACATCCTGAGGCTCCCTCGTCCCACTTACTAGCCACACCACTAAGATTGCTTTGTTTCGATTTGGTTCCATCCCAGCTGCACAACTGTCTTAATTGATTACAGCTCCAAATCTTACACTGAGAAAATAAGGTTTTGAAATCTGGTTTTGCAACTTTTTAGCTGTATGACATTATCCTTTCAAAGTCTTTGTAAACACGGACTTTATCTTCTTATCCATAGGATTATGAGGATCAAACATAAAAAGGACATTCGTTTTCTCAATGTTTCAATTATATGGTAAAGCTATGAGTAAATAACTATGATTTAATTATTTGACAGAGGAAATGCTTGAAAAGAATATGTCCTAGTGCTAGAAAGCACTGAATACTGACAATTCTCTCTAGCCATCTACTACAAAAACAGTTTTGTAACTGTAAAGGCCCTGAGACTTCAGAGTATCAACTGTTCTAAGTTTCTTGAGAAGAAATTTCTGTCCTTTGGGTCCTCAGATCAGTTTTCAGAAGTTGTTCCCAACCAGGAAAACTGGTCAATGGCTGGAAATTATCACAAGGGTGTGGGGAGTGGAGGATAGTTAAAAGAGGAGGGTCAATTATGACGATAAGAATTGGAAATGAGGGGCTGGGGTGATAGCACAGTGGGTAGGGCGTTTGCCTTGCACGTGGCCCACCCAGGTTCGATACCCAGCATCCCATATGGTCCCCTGAGCACCACCAGGAGTAATTCCTGAGTTCAGAGCCAGGAGTAACCCCTGTGCACTGCCGGGTGTGACCCCCCAAAAGAGTAATTGGAAATGATCACTCTAGATAAGAACTGAGTGTTGAAAGTAGGTAAAGTACTTGATAACTTTTCAGCATCTGTATCACAAACCATTATGTCTAAAATGACAGAGAGATGAGCAAGATATGAGAGAGAGAGAGAGAGAGAGAGAGAGAGAGAGAGAGAGAGAAAAGTGCCTGCCATAGAGGCAGATTGGGGTGGAGAGTAGCTTGGAGGGGTGGAGGGAACCTGGGGACTCTGGTGCTGGGAAATTACACTGGTGGAGGGATGGGTGTTGGAACACTGTCTGACTGAAATGCAATCATGAACAGTTTTGTAATGCTCTATCTCACAGTGATTAGATTACAAAAAGGGGGGGGGGGGGGAAATCCCAAGATACAAAGGGGAAGCAGATAGAAACAAAACAGAGAAAGCAGAGCAAGCACTGTCCTCCAGCCCTAAGTCCCTAGGGAAAGTCAATTCTTCTGCCCTTAGCTCCTAAAACTCATAATGGTACTCATCATGATGGCTGTGAGTTCTCAGGTGAGGTTTATCATGTTTCTCTTATATATTCTTACCAGCACTTGCTAGTTACCTCCCAGTTCATGTTATTCCCAATATCCCTGTGAAAACGATCTAAAAAGATCATTTCCCCCGGGGGCCTCCAGCACTGCTGACTCTGAACATCACCACTGCCAGACCCAGAGCTGAATGATCAGGCCGCACCACTCGACTCAACATTGCCATGAGTGGTTTCCAGGCGTTGGGACTTTACTGACAGGACCTGTGTCGCTCCCCCACCCCCACCCCCATTACAAAATAATCTTATTTGAATATAAAGTAGCAAAAACATTAATCTCTAACTGTGAGATGGAGTTTATACGGCATCTATGCTTCTGAAAAGAAGAAAAGGTTGGTGGCAATGAAATAAATTATAAGGTGCAGGCTCACGGCATTGAGAGCTTTACGCTAAAGTAGTTGAAAAACATTAATTCAAATAGATATACACTTGTTTATTGCAGCACTTGGTACAGTAGCCAGGAGATAGAAACAATCCCAATGGCCAATAGCAGATGAATGGACAAAAGTTATATTGTGTAATCATGATGTAATATAATGAAGCTGTAAGAAAAGATGAAATCATGCAGTTTGCGGCAACGTGGATGGACTGGAGGGACATAATGTTAAGTGAAATAAGTCAAGTGAGAGGACAAACACTAATCATCAAACTGTCTGTGGAATATAGAGAAACAAAACAAGGGAACAGACAACTTCAAGCAATGATGAACCCTTGTCCTTGGATTACAAGACTGACTACCAAAACAGAAGGTTTGGCCCAAACCCAAAGAAGAAAAAAGAAATAGTACTTAGAGGCAAGTCAGGCAATTGCTTTTTTCTAGGTAACTGCTTACTGCCATTCTAAATATTGCCCGGGATCCCCCACTTCTGTTTCTTTGTTCAAAACATCTCATTCTTCCCCGTATTCAGTCTCCCAGTCTAAATTGTATCTATTTCTTCAAGTTCAGCTTGTAGCCTGTTTCTTTAAAATCCATCTTCAGGTACTCGCTATATGGAAGAAATGGTGCACTATCAAAATCATTGTCTCCCCACGCCCCCTTATTAATTTTATTATTTGTTTGTTTTTGGCTTTAGGCCCACACCCAAGAGTGCTCAGAGCTTACTCCTGACTATGCAGTTGGTGATCATTCCTGGTGAGATTAGGAGGACCATATGGGGTGCTGGAGATAAAACTTGGATCAGCCACATGCAAGGCCGGTTCCCTACCCGCTGTACTATCACTCCAGCACTCTTTTTATATTATTTTTTCTCTTTTTTCTGGTGCCAGTAACTAAACCCAAGGGCTCAAATGTACAGAGTAAGAGAGTTCATTGAACCACATCCCAGGCACCTCTCTCATTTTTGGTCACTTTTTTTTTCACTACCTGATTTTTTTTTTTTAAATTGTGTTTCTTCTCACAGACAGGTGTGGGGGGTGGGGGGAAAAAGAATTCAAGGAGTCAGAGGAATAGCACAGTGGTTAGGAGCACTTATCACGCATATACACGATCTGGGGTTCAATCCTTAGAACTCCATATGGTCACCAAGCTTGCCAGGAGTGACCTCTGAGCACAGAACCAAGAGTAAGTTCAAGTATGAACCCCCCCAAAAAAGAAAAAAAAGACTCAATATTAAGTTAAATAATCTACTAGCTTAGTAAATTATACCAGGTTAAAATAAAGCAAAGTCTGCAGTTACCTGCTGTTACCTAGACAAAAGCCCCCTTTGTGTTTTTCTTTGCTTTGGTTATGTTTTGTTGAAATCTGACCGCGGCATAGGGGTTTACAGCACAAAAGCTTATACTTGTGACAGCTAGTGCTGCTTAGGCTTCTTTCTGCAACTCCAATTCTTGTCACTGTATGATTTGCCCCAGTTTCCTTTTAGAGTTTACTGGTAAGTCATTGCGTTGTGCAAGACTGAGGACTGGTCCTTCTGTTCTTTGAGGCCCTGACTAAATGCTCGAACTGTTTGCATAATGTCCCAGAATTCATTGAAGAAGTTTGCACCACAGCCATGGGAATGGTTACAGTTTATAAATCAGGGTCCTAGAAAGCACTGATTATGTGAGGTTTTCTTTAATCCCCTAAATCAGACAATTCAAAGACCGAATGCTTCAGTTAGTGTTTATATGTGACTAGCATATCAATTCTCTTTTAAACGATCTATTCTTTTTCTTTTTTCAATTCAGAATATATTTACTGCCATGGCACTATTTCAGTGACTCATACTTAAAATATTGAACACCAGTTCATATATATATGTATATATGCATATCTATATATAGCCAGTTATATAGATACACACACACACACACACACACACACACACACACATATAGCTAGTTTTTCTGTGTGGATGAATGTTCACTTTCTTTCAACTTTGACAGCTTTCCCTTCAAGTCTTTTTACAAAATAAATACTAGCATCTCAAAATCTAATCAGAGATGCCAAAAATTTTTTTAGAACGTAAACAGTTGAGTTTATCAGAGTTAAATCATGAGGGTTGTTTCAAATATCTAAGAATCGTTTTGAGTTTATCCTAATAAAGAAATCGGTTGGATTTTAGCAGAATACATTCTAGAACTTCTTCCTCTAATCATTACAGACATCATCAAGTCATCAGAATTTATTAATTTTTACTCTGTGCAAAGCAAGAGGGACTCCACATGTTACGGTAGCATGCTATTTAACATATCAATCACATTTCCGGCAGCCTGTGCCTTAGTTGTGGAGTGTAAAGTCTTGGATTTGATTACTAGCACTGCAAAAAACCCAAACTCCCATTTCATTCGATTTTTTTTTTCTTTTGGGGTCACACCTGGTGATGCACAGGGGTTACTCCTGGCTCTGCACTCAGGAATTATTCCTGGTGGTGCTCAGGGGACCATATGGGATGGTGGAATCAAACCCGGGTCAGCCTCGTGCAAGGCAAATGCCCTACCCGCTGTGCTATCACTCCAGCTCCCCTCATTAGGTTTATTTTTACTGTACCCATTTTACAGGACAGTTATTCCTGAAGGTCAGGGAAGTTATTATTTGGCTTCTTATGATGATCTTGTTCATAAGAACAGAGCTGTTACAAGAATTCAGGTCTGCTATGTGAGAAAAATTAGATTGTGTCCTCTG